ATGATCTGGATAGTCTTAATACATTGGCTCACTTGGAATAGTGAGTTCCATGTGAAGGTTTTTATTGACAGCTTTCCTTTTGTTATATGGTGACCTTTTAACATGCTGGTTCTTCCTAAAAGTGCAAAAACGAGGTGAAATTCTGGCACTTTTAAAATTCAGATCCGCTTGTAAGCGAGGATGTTGTTCCTTTTCACCGCTGGAACTCCTGGTTTTAATATTCCCTTGTAGAATACTCTGCTGTAGTTTTTCTGCACTGAAGAGGTACATGGGAGATGTGTTTCAGGGCCCACAGTGTCTTCAGAAGATTCTGTTTGATTTTTTTCAAGGTTTTATGAAGAAAGCTGTTTCTTTTGTCCACTCTATGCCTTGTTTATGGTGGGAAGGCTTTGAAGCTAATTTGGTGTTGCTGTGTGCTCTATCATCACTCTGACTGAGCCATACCTCCCGAAGTACACGATAACATACTTTCCTCCTCTTGAACAAATTGTTTTATTTTAGGCTAACTTGTGCTTTCTCGTGGCTTTTGCCAGCCCCCTTGCCAAAGGGGCAGACTGTCCTGCTGTGTCTGTGGAGAAATCTCAGGTATAACAGAACACCGATCTGATACTCGGCTTTAGAAACGATCTGAAGACCACTGGAAGGTGCATGGCACTGATGTGATGTTCATTTAGTCTCACTTGCATTAACATGTTGCCTCCTTGGCCCTGCACGCAGTCCAGCATGAATGTTAGATATTTGAGGATGCTGCAAGTAGGGCATTTTTTCCGTTCTCTCTGTTGTTTGTCTTGCTTCCTCTGGATCAGACGCGAACCAGCTATTCTTCATCCTGTCTTCTGAAGTCTTTATTGTACCTTTAATGGCGTGTACTGCTTCAGTTGAAGTGAAGCTACAAGGACTAGTGTCAAAGATTATTGATGGTTATAGTGTCAGGGGTGTGCACTGCCCTTTTCAAGTGATACTGAAAAGTAGAAGCAGTCGTGCTTATTGACATAAATCGTACCATGTTTCCTCACTCACTATTGTAGATTTTGGCTGGCAAAATATTTGTCCTCGAGTAGCACCTGTTCTAGCCCTTCACGTTCAGCATGCTGAACTTTTTTTTTTTTTTTTAATCCAAAGTCATTTTGTGCTATTGTAGTACTATCTGTCATTGCTGGTTTTCAGCCTAGCGTTGCATTTTAATAGGGATGAGTAACTCATATGTGTCTAAAGGGTGAACTGGTTTATACTCACATGTAGTACATTTCCTCGCAGTTCCTTTTGTCTGTGTAAGTCAAGCAACTTTGTAGTGTTAGACCTCTCTCTTCTAAAAGTTCTATTTTCTTGGCCTTTCTCTGAATATAATCTTTTTAGGTCAGGTTTTATTTTCTGTGGGACATTTAGCGTACTTGTGGGACCTATAAAACAGTAAATACAAGTTACAGTGCAGCATGCATGTGTTGGCAGTAAGGTCAGCAGCAGAGATAGTAGTCTGTTTAAAATTGGAAACCTGTTGCCTTGATATACTTGGTTTGAGCCATCTGGGTATGTTGTTTGACTGTCCCATTATTTCTCATATGAAGGAAGGAGCCAAGATCTTTGGTTGTTTGATGGACATTGAGAGACAGCTGAGAGATTAAATCTGCCTTTCACAGAGCATTCCAGCTCCCGTTGCTGTTAGGAAACCATATGCTCAGTACATCACCAGCTCACATCAGAAGCAAGACTGTCGTAAGCATTCTGTATCTCTCATGGTGTGGGCTGAAGGCACATATTGATCAGGTCTGTCAGTGACAGTAGTCCTGCTCTTCCTCCCCTTCTTTTCCCTCACCCCTTACTTCTTGGTCCTACAAACACTCTTGCATAACACTTTTTTTGTTGTTGTTTTCCTTCCCTAGAAAGAAAGATCGACATCTGTCTCTTGCACACTGTGTCACACCTCTGATTTGGCGGTGCACATGTTGACAGCAGTGCTATTTTCTTTCCGTGACAACTTTAAATCCAAACCCTGCTCTGTGTTCTGATGTAAAAAAATAATAGCGTTTCCTCGTCTTCAGGATTTAGCAAAAACCACAGCCCTTTTTGCAGTGCTAGAAGCTTCCCCATCATTCCGTTAGATTTGTCTGGTTCCTCAGTCCTCCTAGAGTGATTTGCTGTCCAGGTGTGCCTTGCTCCTGTCACATCCTCCGCATCTCAGACGTGTGGTGTACTTTGTCGTCAGATGGAGCCGCTTGCTGTTTGCCGAGAACAGAAGCTGTGGCATTGCAGCTCTTCTTGGGAGCTTCATCAATAACGTGGATAGAAACATGGAGAGATTTAAAATTGAAAGAGGCTTAGCTAATTGCCTTTGTCATTTGCCGGATTTGGGTAAAAGATTATAATCTAAGTCAATAAAAATTATATTCTTGGCAGGTGCCTAACAAAGTCTGAGCTTCTTTGCAGTGTGTGGGCAGGGGGAGCCTGGGCTGCCCAAAGCCTCTGTTCAGCAGAGGAACGAAGCAGCAGGGTTTTTTTTTATGTGAAATGCATCACAGGACAGCTTTAATGTGTGAAACATCTCTCCTGTATACATGAAAAACTGGATAAAAAAGATGAGCGTTATGATGATGTCACATATATTTCTGAAGGGGAGAACAGGAGGGATTTGGCTGTAGAGTAGATGATATGACCCCAAATACTGCACCCCCTGCCCCCAGCAGTACCCCGCTCCTTGCACTCCTTTCTGGGATGCTGCTTGTACTCGTTTTCCCCAGTCCCTAGCCCTGCCTCTGTCCGGCAGCATAGCCTTGTCTATTTATATTACAGATCTATTTATATTGTTTCAGGATAACTTTCATCATTGTTCCAAGTGCATCTGGAAAGAGAGACGGAGGCTTGCCATGTAGCTGCAGACATTAGGAAATGGGGGGAAAAAAATACTTCATCCTCTGCAAATGTTTTCCCTCTTGGCCCGTGGGGCTGGTCCTTCATTTAACTTCAACCAAATGTCAAATAAAGGGGGACTGGTTGAAAAGAAATTGTCCTTCATTTATGGAGTTTCTTGTAAACAAGAATCAGCTTCTCGGTTCCCCTTTGCTTCCTGCTTATGTTTTCTTCCTGCGCTGGTCAGGGAGAACTTCCCCTTATCTCTCTGCTCTAAAGACATTGTCTATCAACCCTTTTTCCTTCCTACTCTACTGTTGCAACTTAGGTCTGGCGGTGTCTTCTCTCTCTGTTTTCTTTGTTAGCCTTTTCTGTCTCTCAAAAAGCAAAGGAAATGGAACCTTTTCAAGGTGAGTCTCTTCAGAAGGGCCAACGATACAGATAGTACGTCAGACTTTTTGTGATACAAGCACAAAGCCACTGATCAGAGGAGTGTTTTTAAAAGCTGGCATTGGGGCAGATCTTTAAAAGCTTAATTTCTGAGCCTCCTTCCTGGAATGTTAGAAAACTACTACCCTGAATTAAAACATAGCACTTGCATTTTCATGTGAATGTGTGTTCTGGGCAGAAGCTACTAGTTTCAAACTGTGGGTTTGAGAGACGTGTGTCCCCAAATGCCTTCTGGAATAGTTGTCTCCAGTTCCACAATGTCACATCACGGAGACGATCTTCATTGCCATGAAATGCAGGCATCTGTGGAGTGGAAATCTGTAGCTATGTAGTGCACCTCAGCTGTGACCTAGGGATTTGGCCAGTGGTACGCTGAAATGCAGCACGTGGATTTGAATCGTCACATAGCCTTAGCACTCGTGGCGTGAGTGAGGCAAGGCTCATCAGAAGTCATGCTTTAAGCATGTTTCTGGCCCAACAGGCTTGAGACAGAAGAGGGTAATCTTAAAACAATTTTCAACATAAGAATGCTGCTCTGAGATCAATTTTACTTCTAGGTAAAGGTTTTTAATTTTGTAATGCCTCCCACCGAAAAAAAAAACAAACAAAGAAAACATTTGCCAGTGGAAGTGTGAACCTCTGTTTGAATAAATGAAAGCTGCTGACAGTATGTTTCCTTTCCTCACTTTTCACTGATCCCCAGGGGTGCTGCTGAAGTGGATGATTTGGGAGAGAAGCACACTGGTGTCTGAGGATTTCCGGTGGTTCCGACTTTATTGCAAGTTTCACAGTATTTGATATTTTCTCTAAAAGTTCAGCTCCAGAGTTCTAGGATTACAAGAAAATCCTTATTTAAAATAGTTTCTACACTTCAAAGTTGGAGGCAAGGGAGCATGTGAAAGCATAAACATTACATTTGAAACAGAAAAACCAAAAAGGCAGATAACTGCACTTTTCTGTATTATTCTTGATCTGTTCTAATTGTTTGCTGAGGGTCTGACTCATGATTTATGTGCTGTTTGATACTGAAAATTGATGTGCTCAGTAGTATTTTTGGTTGTGTTTTGGTATTTTTGTGACCACCTAGAATCTCCTTGTCCACTCTGTTAAAAGAGGCCTTCAGTGTCATCGACCAGATGTTTCTTACATATACTGACTTTTTTGCATAGCATCAAAATGTTTGATGCTTCAGCCAGCAGGGCAGTGTCAGGGTCAGAGATAATGTTGTGTACGCTGTTCAGCCTCAGGGTTTTTTGGTTTGTGGGTTTGTTTGGGTTCTTTTTTTTTTTTTGTGCAGCTTGCATTACCTGACCCCTACTACTCCTGTTCATGTTGATTAGAAACATGAAGATATATAGGGTACTCCCTCTGAGAAGAAGGTTGTGTGGATGTTTGTTAGGGATTTATTGTTAACCAAGCAAACTGATACAACAGAAATAGCGAGTGGCTGGAAGACACTGTGTTGTGTGGCACCACTCAGTATTCATACAGCAGGAAATTACTCTGAGTAGTCACAGCGAATAAACAGGAGTAGAAGGATGTACTGTATTGTTAGAAATGGAAACGTGCCCTGTGCCAGGTATTCATCCAGGCAGCCCAACAGCTGAGGTGTTTCTTCTCCCTCACAATCATCCTGATTTCAGGTTTTGGTTTTTGGCAGTTCATCTTTGTGATTTTGTCCCTTTCCCTCACCTCTTCTTCGCACCATGTTTCAACAGATCTGGTGGCTGGATCCAGAACTGACGTATGGCAATGCCAAGCCATTTGTCTTCACGCAGGGCCACTCCGTGTGTAACCGGTCTTTCTTCCCCTGCTTTGACACACCAGCAGTGAAATGTACCTATTCCGCTACTGTCAAGGTAAGTGACTGAATTGCTATAGATGGTTCATGGAGCACTTAGCTGCTGTTAATTTGTGAAAGCATAATTATGTTGTGTGTGTACCTATGATATAAAATGTTAATTCTGACCTTTACTGTTATAAAAAATACTAGATTTTTTTAGATCCCATTCTGATTCTTGGGCAAGAATCAGGTTACTACCACAAAGGCAACTCTGTTGCCTATGATGCTTGGGTCTTGCCTTCCCTATACCTAATGCTGAAAGTGTAACCGTGAAATGGATAATATGAAAGAGAATTTGGCTGGTCACTTCCAGCAGCGGTTATTGATGATAATACTCAACTGTATTTTATCAGTTTTTGAAAGAAAAACCCCAAACGTTTATGAAAGCAGCATCAAATAATGTTGCATTTTGTGTAGATGAAATAATTTAATATGTGGACACTTGCGGCGCAGCTGGCATAAGAACCCATGCAATATAGGAGTAGTAATATTTTTGGTTGGTATGTTTTCATGGGCTGGGTAGATTGTGTTATAAAAACCTCACAGAAACCTTATGTTTTATGTTACCTAAATGGTGGTTTTTAATGTACATCCTCAGGCATAGATGAAAAAAACCCAGAGAGATCTGTGGTGTAGTCATTCAGCTGTGATCATTTAGTGAGTTGATGTGTATGATGTTGGTCTTCCAGGCTCCAGCAGGCATACAGGTATTGATGAGTGCCACCCAAAGTACCTACTTAGGAGAAGAAGGTGTCTATCAGTTTTACATGGAATATCCAGTACCTGCCTACCTAGTGGCCCTGGTGGCAGGAGACCTTATACATGCAGACATAGGTCCAAGGTAAGATTTCCAGTGAGTTGATTCTGCTTTTTGTGTCTCTGTACAGTGCTTCATGTTGTAAGTAGTAAATACGTTGAGTCATTGATAAGAGAACAGTTGAGACCATGAGCTGTGAGCGTTCAGAGTGTTTAAGGTTAGTTGACTATAAATAAATTCATGGCACTGCACTGGCAAAAATGTTTTCCTCTTTCATAAATGTTGCTTATTGTCCTCTGTAATCATTACAGCTACTTGTCTCATTGCCTTATTTAAGGGATCTTTGATTATCTCTTGCCATGTATCCATGAAGCATTAGCCTAAAGAAGACCTGAGTCTGATGTGAGACCTCTTAGAGCTATTACCATACATGGAAATGTGGTGAGAAGTCAGGCTGTTTTTTCTAAGAGATAACTCAGTTTGCTGAAGTGTCACCTGATGTTTTCTGTTTTCTAACAGGAGCAGAGTGTGGGCAGAGCCTTGCCTGCTACCAACAGCCATCAGCAAGCTTTCTGGCATTGTTGAGCGCTGGTTGACTGCTGCAGAGAGTCTGTATGGCCCATATATATGGGGAAGGTGAGTTTAGTAAGTCTCACAGGAATGTGTAATGGGAACAAAATAAAACAATCTTGAGAAATTATCATGATTATGCTAGCAATAGCAGGACAAATGAGCTTCTCGACTGGCAGCACTGTAGTAGTTGGAAACAAACTCTGGAGTTTCATCTCTGCAAGTGGCAGAGAAGACCATGGAGGCACGGTGGTGTTTTGCCTGGTGTGGTGGGTTTCTAAACGGTGGATCTTCCCTGAGGAGTGAAGGTTTTTCATACTATAGTGTTTTGTGATGCAAGTCCTACATTGGGCCAGACACCATTTAAAATGTATGGCAGTTTTATTTATTTATTTATTTAAACATATGATACTTGACATATGATATATTTATTGTGGTATGCCTGAGGATGCTGAAAACCTGATTCATTGAGAGTCCTAGTCCCTAAAAACAACATTCATAGTTTCTGAAGTTAAGCTTGACTGTGTATTGAAAGAGAATATTTTTGAGAGAATGCTTTCCTTCTTTGGATGGGAGAAAATGTTTACAAAGGCTTCCTATATTTGTTTGCTAAAGGTAAGCAGGAAGTATGTGTTGTTATTGTTAATTTACAAAGCGTTGCTTGAAATTATCTGAGAACACAGCCCAGTGTGCCAGTGCTGATCATTGGTGGAGAAATTTAGAAAACAAAACAAATAGTATTGTTATGGTCTGAAGCAGACAGACTAAAGTAATTTTGCTGACACTGCAGGTACACCGAATCGATTAATTAATTTGATAGCTTCCCAGCCTCTCTCTTTCCTGGGAGCCTCTGGGAGCTCAGCACTGTGTAGGTGGTAGTGTATGTAGAGTAAACTTAGTGGTTCTGGCTTTCAGATGTACCACTTGTGATGAGTTTGGTAGTATGAAGGGAGCATGATGCTTCTGGGAAATGCTAGATCTGCTGCAGATGAAAAAACTGTTTAGTCTTTACGTCCAAATGTGAGCAGGTTCTTGACCAACAGAATAAAGTCCGTGATCCCCTGATGAGAAGAATTAGGCACCACTGGTCTAGAAAGTTTGTTCCTGAAGTCACAAGTCTCAGAAGAGCTTTCGCTAAAGAAAAAAGTTCCTCTGTGTGTCTTTTGAAATAGCTGTGATTTACCTATCTCCATTCTCCTCTTTTCTTTCTTTTCTCTCCCTAATTTTAGATATGACATTGTTTTTCTTCCTCCATCTTTCCCTATTGTTGCCATGGAAAACCCATGCCTGACCTTCATCATCTCTTCCATTCTGGAGAGCGATGAGTTTTTGATCATTGACGTCATTCATGAAGTTGCCCACAGCTGGTTTGGAAATGCAGTCACCAATGCTACATGGGAGGAGATGTGGCTGAGCGAGGGGCTAGCCACGTATGCACAGCGCCGGATCACCACTGAGACTTACGGTATAGATGCAGAAATGTTTCTCCTTATGCTGTGTCTAACCAATAATTGAGAGTTGGCTGCATAGAATATTTGCCTTGGGAGCTCGAAAGTCTGTTGGGAGCTGGTTTTCTGTTTTTTATTTCTGGAACGTGCACAACCCCAAACTTTGCACTGCACATCTTAGATGCTTAGAGTCTGACATTGTCTTGGCTTTGGGTGGAATGAATGCCTGATGTGATAATAGGGGCTTTGAGCGAGCTGTGTTAGCACGGCGTTGTAAGGGTGTTTGTAGGAACTTTGGAACTATTGGTGGGTACCAGGCAGGTGTTCATATGTCAGGGCAAGATGAGCAGAGGATGCTTCAGAGAAAGATGTAAGAAATCTTATCGTGGTTACAGTGTGAAATAACTATCCTCTGAACAAGTGTCTTTCTAATCCTGATCAATTATTAGCTACCTACTGTTGGAAAGAATGATACCGATAGTATTTAGAAAGAAAAATGTGCACATCTAACGTAGCTGTCTGTTTATCTGCTTGAGGCTTCCTGTAGAATTGTACAGCCCTGCCTTTGCTTATATCAGTGAATTTCACCAGTCAGTTGTATAGTACTGTCTATAGAATATATAAGTAGTAAATAATTCCTATTGCTTTTCAGTTTAATTGGATTTTTATTGAAGTGAATAATGGGAACGTTCACTTCTCTAGTTTGTCCTGCTGTGTTCTTAAAATCCTGTACCATGTGTATTCTCACGCATCCACTGTAAACAGTCTTGGAAACATTCCTGGAAATCTTGGCAGCGAGTGTATTTAGAAAGAAGCATTTGTTTTTATTCATGTATATTGTTTTTGGAGATGAGCTGATGATAATGAAGTTTAGGGACAGA